ATTATACTATCATATAGAATAGTTTCACTGCCCAAAAAGTCCCGTGTGCTTCACCTATTCCTACCTGTTTCTCCCCCTCCCCAACCACTAGTAACCAGTGCTCTTCTTCCTGTATCTACAGTCTGCCTTTCCCACAACGTCATATAGTTAGAATCATACAGTATGTAGGCTTCGCATGTCTTTTGTGGCTTAATAGCTCATTTCTTTTTATTGCCAAATAATATTCCACTGCATGGATGTATCACCATTTGTTTTTCTATTTGCCTAACGTAGGACATCTTGGTTGCTTCCAGCTCTTGGCAATTATGAAGAAGGATGCTATATCCATCCATGGGCAGGTTTCTGTACTGACATAAGTTTTCAATTCATTTGGTTAAATACCCAGGAGTATGACTGCTAGATCATGTCCTAAGAACTATGTTTGTTTTTTAAGAAACTAGAAGATGTCTTTTAAAATGGCTCTACTGGGGCACCTGGGTGGCTCAGTTGGTTGAGTGTCCGACTCTTAATTTTGGCTCAGGCTGTGATCCCCAGGGCTGTGGGATAGAGTCCTGCATTGGGTTCTGTGTGGAGTGTAGAGCCTGCTTGAGATTCTCTTCCTTTCCCTCTGCCCTTCTCTCACTTGCGCACAATACACAACCTCTCCCATCCTTCTCTCAAATAAATAAATAAATAAATAAATAAATTAATTAATAAAACCTCTGTAGCATATTGCATTTCCTCCAGCAATGAATGAGAGTTCCAGTTGCTCTACATTCTTGTTAGCATTTGGTATTGCCAGTTTAGATTTTTGCCATTCTAGTAGGTACACAGTAGTTTTAATTAGCAATTCCTGAATGACAGATGATGTGGAGCATCTTCTCACATGCTTAACTACCATCCATATATCTTCTTTGGTGGGCTGTCCAGATATTTTTCTCATTCTTCATTGGATTGTTGGTTTTCTTGTTGTTGAGTTTTAAAAGCTCTTTGTATATCTTAGATATAGGTCCTTTATCAGATATGTGTTTGGTAAACATTTTCTCTCAGTTTCTGGGTTATCTTTTTATTTTCTTGACAGTATCTTTCAGAGAGCAGAATTTTTTAATTTTAATGAAGCTCAACTCATCTATTTTTTCTTTCACAGATCATGCTTTTAATGTTGAATCTAAAAACTCCTTGCCAAATGACTATAGAAACATTTGCAAGAAGCAATTGACTTTAGTCCAATCCCCTGACATTATATATACAAAGTCCGCAGGCAGTCTATAGGTAAGTGCTTCAGTAACAGCAGAATTGGAACTCATTAGAGTGTAAAAAACAAGAAACAGAAAAGGCAGAGTGCCCTGTGAAAAGAACATCCAGCAGGTGATTTGGAGGAAGCTGTGTTGCTCAGTAGTAAGTAATCTGTTACTAATGGCTATTGTGTAACATCAAAATGACCTTGAATCTCACTATACACTATGCCAAGTATGAGAATGCGAGAGGGATACAACGTGTATATTGCCATTGTCCCTCAAATGGATGACCGCAAGAGAGAACTAAAGTCAACAGATATTTTGCCTACTATTTTTGGATCATAGTCAGAGGGTTTGGGACATTCCAGCTCACAACAATGAAACCAGTCAATCAGATGGGTAAGATCGCGGGGTCAGAGCTTGTCCCAGTTCAAGAGTGTGTGAAAGAAACCAGATTAACAGTACATTCTCTTAATCCCACCCAGGTAAGCAAAAGTCACATTCCATTATATAGAATTACTGGATAATCTTAGTAAAAGGCAAACCCTCTAAAATCCCCAGAAAACCAGCAGACTCAATACCAGTCAAACTCTATCATCCTCACACCAAAAGACTATGCTGTTCTTGAGTTGTCTTGGAATTCTATTGTATTGAATTTATCTGAAGTAAATAAGCTATACTCCTGGGATATGGGAATCCTCCTCCATAATGAGAATCTTCTCATTTTTATTTTAATGGATTTGTTGTCATGTAATTATATTCCAAAACATAAGGGAAGAACATCTTTCTGTCCTTTTGTATGCTAGTTGGGGAGGGCGGTGGTTCACTGAAAACACCTGTTTTGTAATTGGGGTCACTTCTGCCTTGAGTCAGAGAACTCATTCTCCAGCAAGAGGACAAGAAAAGAGCAGCAGTTTAAGACAGAAAGCTAGTGACATCTACAGAGACAATCTGATCGACATTGAGAACCACTAATAAATGCCATGCGCACCAGGAAACACGGAGACATGGAGTGAATTAAAGCATTGTCCTTGCTTTCAAGAGGTAGAAGGCTCCTTTCTAGGAGGAAAATATAAGATATCTACAACACTTTTTATTTTTTTGTGAAGGGGAAAAGAGTCACCAAAGAAGTCCTATCCTTTGAGGTAGACAATCTTTGAACTCTAGACACTAGAAGGTAGACGGTTGTTAAATATTATATAACCTAATGCTCACATTTTATAGATCATGAGGAACCCAGAAAAGTGGAAAAATGTATCTAAGATTGCAGGGTTGGGACTAGAACCCAAATTTCCTGATTTGTTATCAAGTGCTCTTGACTATATAGATTACACTGTCTCTCTTAGAAGTCAATGACTTCTCTCATTCCTAGTTCTCATAGTCAGGTTGCACCTAATTTGTCAATTAGATTCTGATTTATAGAGTTCATGTTATTTTTCCTTTAAACTCATCTTCAAAAAGTCTACTTTATAGTTTCAATTTAACAGATAATTTTTTTAATATTGAGAACTTACTTTGGCCTAGTGGTAGAGAGACTACCAACTCAGGTAAGGCATACTTCCTACCTCTGAGGAAGTTACTGTAAACATCTCATAAGGTACTCTCAGCCACAAAAGTTATGTATGTGAAACTCATTGCCACCACCCAATCAAGTTTTCTACCAGAAATAACTTTTTAGTCAATGACTCTAATTCTCTGGGCCCCATGGTAAAATCCTGAAGCTATTTTTGCTACTCTGGCATTCAAGTGAGAGCATGTGGTTTTCAATTTTTTGTTAATGTTTACTTATTTTTGAGAGAGAGAGAGAGAGTATGTGAACAGGGGAGGGGCAGAGAGAGAGAGAAAGAGAGGGAGACACAGAATCTGAAGTAGGTTCCAGGCTCTAAGCTTTCTGCACAGAACCCAACACAGGGCTCAAACTCACCCATGGTGAGATCATAACCTAAGCTGAAGTCAGAAGCTCAACCAAGTGAGCCACCCAGGTGCCCCTATGGTTTTCTATTCCTGCTCTACCATTAACAGATTATTTTGACACCCTGGGCAAGTCATACCTCTGGAATGTACTCTTCTCAATGAGTAAAATAGAGAGTACCAACCTGCTATAATTCATCTTTGTTTCAAATCCAATCAAATCCAAGTGAGAGACATATCAATTTATTTTATGTCTATCTAATTAGCTAGTTAGTTATCATCTATGTACTTTTTATGATATCTCTCAAACTTCTCTCTCCTCTTCCATGTTTGTCATAGCCAAGACTTTCATATCCAGAATACTGCTAAGCAGGTTTCAAGCTCTTCAGTGTAGATGTGACTTGTTAAAAGCAATTTTAAGCCATATTTATCCTAGAGGTACACAGGTTACACTGGAGGGTAGAAAACTAGTTTAAAAGCCTATTAGAGTAATGATCAGTCTCACAGCAAAAGCCCACCATTCAAGTACCTCAAAAGCTGGCTTCTGTTGGCCTTTCTGCTTTTATTTCACATGACTCCTTAATACATGGCCTTTTTGACCACATCTTCATGTTTTTAATGTTGCTGTTTCTAAGCATCCTCTAAGGAACGTTTTACCTTTCTGTGAACTTAATTCCAATAGTTTCCTTAAGACAAATTTCTTCCATGGAGTCAGATCTTTCCTTTCTCTTCTTCTATTCTTTAATTAACATGAATATTTAGAAAACAGTAATAATCCTCTATCCTAACTTGTTCTAATGATTATAATTGGCATAAAAGAGATATGTAAAAACTTCCAATCAATATTAAAGGAAGAATACATATAAAGGTGATGTAAAGAATATAATTTATTTTCTTTATTATCTCCTTATTTCTTTTGCAAATCAGAACAAACAAGCAACTGGCTATCGATCTTTGTGGTAGAGGATTAATATATATTTTTAAATTGCTTTAGAATATTTAATAAGAAAATTAAAATATGTTTTCTTGGCTGTACCAACTTTTTTTTAATGTTCATTTATTTATTTTTGACAGCGAGAGAGAGGAGAGGGGCAGAGAAAGAGGGGGAGAGAGAATCCCAACCAGGCTCTGTATCATCAGCAGAAAGCCTGATACGGGGGTTGATCTCATGATCCTAAGCCAAAATCACAAGTTGGAGGCTTAACCAACTGAACCATCCGGGCGTCCCTACCAACTTCTGATATACGAAAATGTCTGGACAAAAGGATATGAAGTATTACCAATTAATACATAATTTAGGCAGATATTCAAACAAGCAGTGAGTAATGTTACATAAATGCAGGCAGGGTAACTTACTCAGTAGGTAAACTCTGAAGACTGCTTATATTTCAGTCATAAAGCAATCTGACCAAATGATTTTCAAAGTCAGTCTTATAATAGAGAAGCAATGGGGAAAGCAAAGTTTTATTTTCTCTCTTTCAGTCTCTTATTGCTGCTTGAGCCCTAATTTGAACTCCGTCTTCAGAGAAACGCCACAAATAGAGGAGGAAAGGATGTGATTCAGCAGGGATAAAGAAGTACCGGCACATCCCACTAGTCAGTTCTGCCCCAGCTCTGAGAATATTCAGTGCACTCTCTTGTACAAATTTCAAAAGAGATTTTCCCAAGAAATGGGTTTCAAACAATTTTAGTTCCCATCATTGCTGTCTACTGGTCATAACTGAAAAAAAATCCATTATATTACAAAAAGATCCTGTTATCCAGTATTTGTTAATTATGATTGAGACCAGAAACATACAAAGTTTCAAAGAAAACAATTGAAGGGAACATCTGAAAGTAATTTTCCCCATTCTTTGTTGTTCTGCTACTCACGGCAAATCTTCCAAACTGGAGGCTTCATGTCTTGGATCCAATAGATCATAACCACATTCATTGTAGATTTCCAAATAGGAAATGTGCGTTGTATATATTGTGCTGCTGTCCTGATTGGAAAAGGGGAAGACATTATTTAATAGCTATAAATAACAATTCAGCTCAGAGGAGGATGACCACATTTATCACTATAGTTTCCTCACAGCTTCTCTCCTTTACGCTCTTCATTTGGTATGGTTTCCATTTTCAGTTCGTGACACTTTCAAGTTGCCAGTAACCATATGCATGAAGCTTTATTTTTTTTTTTAATGGCCAACACCCATGATTACAAGCAACTTTAGTCTGTTGTTTTTTTATTGGTTCCACGTTATAAATAAAGAGTCAATATACACTTAAAATGAGCCAACTCAGTTGCAGAACTGTATAACACACCATTTTTTACTTTCCAGATCCCCACCTCCAAAAAAACAAAAGATTACTGTGAAAAAATAAACTTACATTCTGTGAATAGCCTATTCATGAAAGAAAACAGAATCATTACTTCAGTTTTAAAACTTCAGTAGCAAGAGTTTCCATCTTTAATTATAATTCTTTTTAAAATTTTTCCAATATCAAAATTTCTGGTGGCATAAATAGATAACAGACAATAGTAGATAATGTAAAATGGATTCCAGAGGACAGAACTAGTTTAGATCAATTGGGTAACATTAAGAGTCGGCATTCACAGCTCACTGCCTATATCTTCTCTCTCGGGTTAATATTCTTGGCCTACATAGCAACCAGGGATATTGAGATATTTTTTGAGAAAGATACTTTGTGGGGGTCATTACTGAAATGTAACAATATAGGCATCAGTGTAATTAGAATAAAAGTCAAGGCGACTAGTCCTGTCTCAGTTCCTCCAGCAGATAAAAAGGACCCACTCCCTCTGAGATGGAATAAAATGGAATTTTTTCAGGTCTCAAGAAAACTGAAAATGTTTCACCTTTTGAGATCAAATATCAACTGACAGCACTTTCTTCTTGTTTCTCCCAAAATACAGATGCTTCCATTTCAGCAAATAGAGCCCTAATTCTCATAAGAGAATATATTTGTGTCTTATAGCAAGAAGGTCAACAGACTGTCAGAGTCGATACTCACAAAGAAATTTTGCTTAGGATGACCTTCCTGATTGACTCTCACCCATATCCAAGACAATCCACTTGACAGATACTATTCAAAGGGAGAGAGGACCAAGTCACAGAGATGGAAGAGAGAAGAGAAGCCAGCATATCCAGCGCTGGAACCCTAGTCCTACTTGCTATGAGTCCCTACTGTGTCAGGCCTCAGTTTCCACACTGATTAGTGAGGAAATTAAATAATGAATTCCTAATGTGTTCTTCAGATTAAAATTAATACGATTCTCTGGTTCTAAAGTGGCTCAACCTATCCAAATAAAGATACCACAAAATAACACCTGAAAAATTAAGGCAATTCTCAGGCAGCAAATTACTAGAGTAAAACACTGAAGCTACATCTGAAATTTCATGTTTTGGTTGTCTTGGAAGGTGACAGCATGGATTGAGTCTCTACTAAGCAAATTTCTCCCCGCCAAATGCTGGAAGTCCTGCTGAAGTGGGCGACTCTAGTTGCTTACCCTAACAAACAGCCTGCTGATTAGATTAGTACCCTAGTTTAGCAAAGGCATCATTCAACATCATTCTTTGGGTTATAGCACAGGTATCAGAGAGCATATATTCTAGACAGGTTCTGTGTGGTCGTTAGTCTAATCCAATTTTCCCTAAAGTATCCCATGAAATGCCTGTTGAAAAAGTGTTCCACAACCAACATATACGCTGTCCTCTCTAGAAGATTCTCAGAGCACATTGAAGACCATGGGGATCATTTAGCAACGTCTCAGGAAGCTTAAGAGCAACATATTTCTAAAACTTGTCCGAACATAACTGAAATATCCCATATATTATAGTTTGAGATTTTAGCATACAGTTCTGAGCTCATCTTAGCATCAGAAAAAGCTGGGTTTGAATACTGGATCTGCCATTTATAACTGAGTGATCCTGCACTATCATCAGCTGTCTAATTATGAAATTGGGGATAACACTTATCTTGCAGAACTGTTGTAACAGAGAAATAGGGTTCCGTATTTAAAATCTGACCAAAAATGTATGTCCCCATAATAAGCACCAATAAGTTGCTGCTGCTGCTACTGTTTTTATTATTGTTATTGTTATTGTTCTTATCATTCTTTCTAAAAGCCTCTAAATGGAGAATTCAATGAGAATATAAAAGGAAACTAAAAGAAAGGCTAAATGACAGCCAACTTGTATGTTCATGTGTACTGGAGAAACTCTCCCAGAAAATAGAAGGAAGGAATCACAAATCAGGAAAATGGCAAGACCACGCCCCCGAGATGATAGGGATAATGCCTTTGGCTCCTCCAGTTTCTGCATTTTCTGGACTTTTATTAGAATACACACTTAAAAATCACTGAGCAATGTGGCAAGCTACCTTTCCTTATTATTCCATTTTTAGTGTTTAGGATTGCCAGACTGTAATGTAACACACATGTTCCCTGCAGACAGCCTTTCCTCTTGCCCCAAAACAAGTCTGAACCTCACAGGACTCAAAAATAATGAGCTATGATTTCTAAAATAAATGGAATCAATTGTCCTCCTTTAAAATTACTGCAAATGTGCTCCTATCACACTCACAGGCATTTTAGGAGCCAGTATGCACTTACTCTTGGTTTATCTTGTAATAATTCCTTTGCATAAGTCAAATATTTCCTTTCATAATTCTAGAGAATTCCATATGGCCCTCTCAAGCAATTGACGGGGGGTATGTGAGTACCTGCCTGCATTTCTCAGCTATACAATGTAGACAAACTTGATGATGAACCTCAAGTTGCCTCTGACTAGTTTTGCAGCAGTTCAGTTTTATTAAATGAATACGTTGTGACCCATCATGGAGATCTGTCCTTTTACAAGGAGTTGTCCTGACTATAAATTGGTCCAAGGGGCTCTCTTCAGTCCAGGAAGTGATTTAGGATAATTCTAACTGAAATGAGGTTTAGAATAATGTCAATGACAAACAGATATAAAACAATGAACCGAGCAGATGGTAGGTACTTGGGAGACATCTAGACTTTTAAAACTGTATTTTCGTACCCACATACAAAATTTTAAAAGGGACAAATATATTTTCCATTAGGAAAGGATTTATTTATTCTGTTTAACTTAATCAGGGAAATTGGTTTCATTTGTCCTAAGTTTCAAAGGATTCTTTGAAATTAATCAGGATCATTTGGCTATACATATATGGATATACATATTAATGGCTATAGTAACTGAGCTCATATATTGACCATGTGCTATGTGCCAGGAACTGGACAATATTTTTAGATAGAGTATGTTCAGCCCTCATAGCGACTCCATCAGCCTGAGACATTAAGTAACTACCTCAAGGCCACATGCTGTAAATAGTACACTTTCTCAGAACCAGGTCGGTCTTTACCAAGTTCAATGATCTTTCCAAGACAACATGCTTCCACGTTGGGCCACAGCAGCAAAAACTATTAGAAATTATATTCCCAGTTTGTGAAATCTGGGAGCAAAACAAAACAGCTAATGTCAGAAATAAATGAGTAAATGAAAAGACAGGATCTGAATCCAACATACACATTATACTCAACTCTTTCTCTTCCACATTTTCTGGCATGCAGAGTTGGCATGTTTGAGCTAGTGAGAGATGAGCTGAACTAATGGGTAATTGCTACTTTATGGATGGAAATTAGAATTATGCAGATCTCAGCAATTTCTTCTCATCTTTGCAACCCAAAATTCAAAAAGCATACAGTCAAGAAATTTTGGAATAACTGTTATACTGACCTAGTTAGGACATTTGTTATACAGAAGTAATACAACCAAGTAAGTGTAGCGAGTAGGGACGCTGAAGATCCTCTCGGATGATTCAATTCCTACTTTCACAGAGGGGAAAACCAAAACCTAGAGAAGTTAAGGGAAAACTGAAACCCAAGTTAAGAGAAGTCCCTTAACTCAATATCGTTTAAATACAACCAACAAGGGGTGCCTGGGTGGCTCAGTCAGTTAAACTTCTGACTTCGGCTCAGGTCACGATCTCACGGTTCGTGGGTTCGAGCCCCGCATCGGGTTCTGTGCTGACAGCTAGCTCAGAGCCTGGAACCTGTTTCAGATTCTGTGTCTCCCTCTTTCTCTGCCCCTCCCCGACTTGTGCTCTGTCTCTCTCTGTCTCAAAAATAAATAAAACAAAAAAAATTTTTTTTTGTTTTATTTATTTTTTTTTTTTTTACAAATAGTTTATTGTCAAATTAGTTTCTACATAACACTCAGTGCTCATCCCCAAAGTGCCCTCCTTCATGCCCATCCCCCCCTCCCCCCCACATCCATCAGCACTGCTAGGAATTTACCCAAGGGATACAGAAATGCTGAGGCATAGGAGCACATGTACCCCAATGTTCATAGCAGCACTCTCCACAATAGCTAAAACATGGAAAGAGCCTAAGTGTCCATCAACAGACGAATGGATCAAGAAGATGTGGTTTATCTATACCATGGAATACTACATGGCAATGAGAAACAATGAAATCTGGCCATGTGTAGCAACATGGATGGACCTTGAGGGTGTTATGCTGAGCGAAATAAGTCAGGCAGAGAAGGACAAATACCATATGTTTGCACGTATAGGAGGATTAGGAGGAACTTGACGGAGGACCAAGGGGGAGAAGAAGGGCGGAAATGGTGGGGGAAAGGGAGAGAGGCAAACCATGAGAGACTCTTGAATGCTGACAAAAAAATTTTTAATACAACCAACAAAATAAAGCCAGTCTGAGATATCGAGGCAGTGTATGTAGGGTTTGGCATCACACAGAGCTGGGATGGACCACCAGATAAAGATATTTAGACTCAAGTTTCCCCAACTATAAAATTGGGATAAAGATACCTGCCTTGTTAGTTGTATCATATGCTGTATTAAATACTAATAAGGCAATAGGCACTTAGAGACACACATAAATGATGCATATAATATAGAGAACTCTTCATAATAATAGTAATTGCAATAGGATTTTTACTCTGGTAAACTCTTCTGAGCTTCTATCACAATTCTGAAAAAGGTACAATCATATCATCTTACTCAGGGCTTTAGTAGGTGAAATAAAAATGTCTTGGTTAAAGGACAGCCAGTTTCTTAATGGGGAATATAAGATGTTAGTTGGGAAAATGTGTTATCTGTTCTTTTAACCTCCATGGATGTATAAGAAGGAACTCCCTTTCAGCCTTTGCTGAAACAGCATCCCCTTAATGAGAAGCACCTTAATTTCTACTTCTTCAGCAAAATCCCAAACTTTCCTTAAATATAAAGGCCACAGTTATTACACAGTAATACTTCCTCAATTAGATATAATATAATAAAATGTCACAATAAATTTTTTACCCACTGTAAATTTCTGCTGAATATATCAAACAGAAAATGAAGTTAAAGCTTCATACCTTTTGTAATTGCTCAAAAATGTACGACAGTGTCCTTGGGATAATGCCTCTGTCACTGTAGCGTTCTGCTCCACCTGTGATGGTGAATGTCTTACCACTGCCTGTTTGCCCATAGGCAAAGATGGTACCATTGTAACCTGCCAAGACACTGCATAAGGAAATGACACACTTTTAATATCCAAATGGCTAACTGCACTTGTATTAAATGGCTTGTCTTCTAATAGCAATCTTATTCAACACTATTGAAAAGACATTTATAGATCTATATAGGAGTACCTAGCTAAAATAATTTACTTTTTTTTTTTAATCCAAGAGTATCAGCACGCCAATCCTTTTCTATAAGAAAGGACCTATAACTCAAATGGAAGCCAGTCATCTTAAATATTTTCTTTTGTTATATTGAATAAAATTGTTATTTAGAATACTTTTGTATTTACAGAAAAGTTGCAAAGATAGCACAGAGTTAACACACACCCTACACCTAGCTTCCCCTATTGTTAATACATTAGTATTGTACATTTGCGACAACTAAAGAGTCATTACTGATGCATTATAAATTGTATTAAATGCCCTTTGTTTTTATGTCTTTTTTATTTTTTCCAGTTTTGCTGAGATATAAATGACATATAACAAATGTAACTTTAAGGTGTACAAATGTGATGATGTGATACATAAATATACTGAGTTCCACAATAAGGCTAGTTAGGATATCCATCACCTCGCATAATTACCATTTTTTGTAGGTGGTGAGAACATTTAAGATCTATACTCTTAACAACTTTCAAATATATAATATATAGTCACTGTGCTATATGCTAATCTGTAGAACTTATATATCTAATAACCAGAAGTTTTTACCCTTTGATTAGCATCTCCACATTTCCCCTACATACTAGCCTCTGGCATCCACCATTCCTTTCTTTATATCCATGAATTCAGCTTTTTTAGGTTCTACATGTAAAGGAGAACATACAACATTTGTTGTTCTCTGTCTTATTTTACTTAGCATTATGCTCTCAAGGTCCATCTATGTTGTTGCAAATGGCAGACTTTTCTTCTTTCTATGGCTGAATAATATTCCATTGTACATATATACCACATCTTCTTTATCCATTCATCCATCAGTAGACATTTAGGTTTTTCCATGCCTTGGCTATTGGGAATATGCTGCAACGAACATGGGGATGCAGATACCTCTGAGAGATTTCATTCCCTTTGATATACACCCAGAAGTGGCATTGCTGGGTCATATGATAGTTCTATCTTTAATTTTTTTTAGCTTATGAAAACAAAAGTTTATTTCTTGTTTGCTATAAATCTGCTGTGAGTCAAGGTAGCTCCTTCAGCAAATATGCTGAATTCATAAAGAGACTCAAGAAATTTAAGCTGCTTTTATCATCTTCTTTCTTTCATTTAATGTTTACTTATTTTTTAATATAATTTATTGTCAAATTGGTTTCCATACAACACTCAGAGCTCAGTCCAACAAGTGCCCTCCTCAATGCCCATCACCCACTTTCCCCTCTCCCCCTCCTCCATCAACCCTCAGTTTGTTCTCAGTATTTAGGAATATCTTATGGTTTGCCTCTGTCCCTTTTTTTTTTTCTCCTCCCCCCCCACCCCACACAAGGTCTTCTGTTAAGTTTCTCAAGATCCACATAAGAATGAAATCATATGGTATCTCTTTTTCTCTGACTGACTTATTCCACTTAGCGTAATTCCCTCCAGTTCATGGAATACTACTTGGCAATGAGAAAGAATGAAATCTGGCCATTTGTAGCAATGTGGATGGAACTATCTTTAATTTTTTAAGGAAACTCCATAGTGGCTGCACCAATTTACATCCCCACCACCAGTGCACAAGAATTCCCTTCTATTCACATCCTTAACAGCACTCAGTGTCTCTTGACATTTTGATAATAGGCATTCTAACAGATATGAGGACATACCTCACACTTTTGGTTTGCATTTCCCAGAGGATTAGAAATACTGAAAACCCTTTTATGTATCTGTTTTGGCCACTTATATGTCTTCTTTGGGAAAATTTCTATTCAAGTCCTCAGCCCATTTTTTTATTGTGTTTGTGACTTAACATGTGATCTATCCAGGAGAATGTAGAATCTGTAATCTGCTGCTGTTGGGTGAAATGTTACATATATGTCTGGTAGGTCCATTTGGCTTAAGGTATAGTTCACATTAAGAGTTTCCTTATTGATTTTCTGTCTGGATGATCTATCCATTGTTAAAAGTAGGGTATCAGATTCCACTACTATTATTGTATTGTTTTCTATATCTCCCTTCAGATCTGTTAGTATTTGCCTAATACATTTAGGTGTTCTGATGTAGGATGCATATATATTGTTATATCCTTGTGATGAATTGACTATCTTTATCATTATAAAATGGACTTCTTTGTCTCATTATAGTTTTGGCTTAAAGTCTATTTTGTGTAATAGAAGTATAGCTACTCACTGCTTTCTTTTGGTTTCTATTTGCATGGAGTATCTTTTTCCGTTCCTTCCCCCTTCAGTCTCCGTGTGCCCTTAAAGCTGATGTCTCTTGTAGGCAGCATATAAATGGGTTTTGTTTTTAATCCATTAGCCACTCTATGCCTTTTGATTGGAGAATTTAATCCATTTACATTAAAAGGAACTAAGGTTAAGGAAGGACTAACTTCATTGTTTTCTAGCTTTGTAGTTCCTTTGTTCCCTTTTTCCTCTTTTATTGCCTCTTTGTGAAGTGATTTTCCCTGTGGTATACTTTGATACTCTTCTCTTTATCTTTTGTGTGTCTACTACTCATTTTTACTAACTGTCCCATCTTTGTAGCTTTGATGTCACAATTTACCTCTTTTCATATCGTGTCTTCATTAACAAGTTATTGTAGCTATAATTGTTTTTAATACTTTTGTCCTTTAACTTTTATACTACATTAAGTAATTAATGCATCACCATATTATAGTATTAGAGTATTATGAATTGCTTAGACTTGTCTTTATCAGTATGCTTTATATTTACATATCTTTTCATGTTTCAGTAGTTCTTATAAGGCAGGTCTAGTGGTGATGAACTCCTTCAGGTTTTGTTTGTTTGGGAAAAAATCTTTGTTTCTCCACTTCTGACAGCTATGCTGGGTAAAGTATTCTTAGTTGGAAGTTTCTTTTTTTTCTTTTTCCAGAAAATTGAGTATATTGTCCCATTTTCTCCAGGCCTATAAGGTTTCTGCTAAGAAACATGCTGATAGTCTTATGGGGGTTCCCTTATTGTGAGATATTTTTTTCTCTTGTTGCTTTTAAAAGTCTCTCTCTGTATTTGATTTTACATAGTTTTATTTTAATGTGTCTTGTAAAAGATCTTTTTGGTTTGAAATTATGGGGTCACCTATTAGCTGTATGAACATGGATGTCCAAATTTCTCCCCAGATTTAAGAATTCTAAGCCATTATTTCTTTATCTACACTTTCTGCTCCTTTCTCCCTCTCTTCTCCTGACTTTAATAATGTAAGAATGTTTCCTCTAATGGCATCCCATAATTCAGAAAGGTCTTCTTCACTCTTTTCATTCTTTTTTCTTTTTGCTTCTCTGACTAGATAATATCAAATGACATGTTGTCTAGTTAACTAATTTTTTATTCTGCTTGATTGAGTCTGCTTTGAAGCTGTCTATTGAATTGTCAATTCAATCACTGTATTTTTTAACTGTAGGATTTGCTTGTTATTTTTTATAATGGCTTCTATTCCTTTGTTGAATTTCTCATTTTGTTCATGTATTATTTTCCTAATTTCATTTAGTTGTCTGTGTTATCTTGTAATTCACTGTATTTCTTTAAGAGGATTATTCTGAATTGTCAGATAATTCACAGATCTCCATTTCTTTAGGGTCAGTTACTGTACCTTTATTAGTTGTCTTTGGTGATCTCATGCCTATGTGGGTAGACCTGGATCCTGGATCCACAGTGGCTAACCAGGTACTGGGGATCACTGGCATAGGCCCAGCAAAGGAGCCAGTCTAGTGCAAGGATGGGCTGGAATCCTGGATTTGCTAGAGTCTGCTGATGGCCTGACATCATGGGAGCTGCCTGGGGCTATGGGAGTCACCCAGCCCCAGGGTAATCAGGAGCTCGGTTTTATGGGAGCATGCTGGTAGCCTAGTGCTGTAGGAGGTGCTTAGGGCTACAGGAGCAGAAAGGTGCTAGGGTGGGCTAGGGGGTTGGATTCTCATAACCTGCCAAGAGCCTGGTGCCAAGAAATCACCTAGTGCTACAGAAGTTACCTGGGGACTATGGGAACTGCCTTGGGGCCACTGGAGTCAGCTGACGGTGGGATAGGCCAGCACTGGTATTTACAATAAAGTCAGCTGTTCACTTCATTCTCCTCCCAAGGGGAGGGTATCTCTCTCAGCTGCCAGGATGCCCAGGCTTAGGGGAGGAGTAATGAGGTAATGTCAACCTATCTTTCCTACCCTCATCGATGTGTCTTCTCTTTTCTTACCCCATCTCAATGCTGTAATTCCTCAGCTGGAATCCTTAGCTTTTGTGAGAGCATTTTCAGGCTTGGTAGTTATTCAAATTGATGTTTCTGGGAGGGGACAGGTGCTAGAAATTTCTATACTGCCATTTTGCTGAAGTCACTCTCCTAATTAAATATGTTCTTCATCTTTAGTATACTGGGCTTGAATCAAATAATATTTTGAAGAAAAAAAAAAAAACAATATGTTGAAGATGAAAGTTCTGAGGAAAGCATACCTATAATTTGGCAAACTGCAAACCTGACACCTGGCACTTCATGTGGCAAATATTTACAACACATGGTCACCTCCTAGAATACCAGGTACAGAATGTTTGCCACTATGTACCTTGCAGTGTAGTTCCCTAATTTAATATTCAGCACCAACTGTAAATCCTCTAAGAATTTCCCTCTTCAATTTTCTTGGAATGACTTTTGGGTAGATGATACTAATCCATATGTGTTCTTTTAGTTCTACAGGGCAACTTTTGATTTGATGGTAATCTTAAGAATCTTGGGTCTTCCAGACTTTGAATGATATTACAAAGCTGTAGTGATCAAAACAGTATGGTACTGGCACAAAAAAAAGATACATCGATCAATGGGACAGAATAGAAAACCCAGAAATACACTTATATGGTCAAT